GAAAATTCCATCAGTAAGTTTATCAAAATAACTTTGATTTAATCAGTGAGGATGCAACCTTAATTAAGTTGAGCAAACACACGCAAAAAGAGATCTACATGGTTGCCACTAACCAGCTTTGGTGTTACATTTCCTTGTCGTGTCAGCGGATGGAAGGTTGCTTAGAGCACTGGTAACAAGCAATAGCAAGAGACAGTTTCTAGCGTCTCTAAGCAAATGTGTGTTTCGCATTCTGTTCGTTGGACGTGCGTTCAGTTCTTCACCCAACAGGTGCCTAAACGTAAAATCGACTACATAAGGGACGAATCGAAGTGATAAGAGGACGGGAAAGATGGGATAAGATGACGCAAGAAGTGACGGCAATCTAAGGAACTGAAATTATGAAGGATAAAAAATACGAACAAATGAAAAATTTGGGAAAGAAAATGAATTATCATATATCTGTACAACTTTAGTACAACTCGTGATGCAACTTGTGATTAACAAATCGATTTTGCTAATCACTCGCATGATTAGCAAACCGAATTGGACTCCAATCTGTCCTTTTATAATTATTTATCATCACGCGGTCTTTTTGAAGCTCGAATTAACAGCTTATGAGGTCATTTAAATGCGGCCCGAGATACGAGGATGGTGGCAGCCAATTCCACTTTCCATGAGAAAACAATCTCATCTTTTCCTACTGCATTGTACTTACCAGTGCAAAAGCTAAAGATGATACAGGTAAAAGGTCTTGTCGCAGAAACTCGATGTTTGTGACCAAGCGAATACAGTGAACTTAAATGACAGCCCGATGGCGCATTAGCAGTCTCATTCAAAAAATCATATCTTATTACCTTGGCACCAGTCCTCACAAAACTTTATCAAAATGTAAATTGAAGGTGTATGATGAATCCTCATGAAAACTGAACAGGTGAGAGTTTGTCATAAAAGTAGATCGAAGATAAAAAAATTAAAGGAAGAAGTAAAATTCAGTCACTCACCCTTCGTACTTGCATGTACTGTAATGTTGTGGTTGTTTTTATCTTTGATAAGTGCTTGCGACGTGAGTTCCCTCCGGGAAATCTTACGTGGTTCCTGAAAAAGCTCACATGTTGTTTATTTGAAAAAAGTGTTCTGTTTTTCACTAACTACTCAAATTTATGGATGTCCATGACATTGTTGCACAAGAAGACAGCTCTGGCGATTCTCACAAGAATAAAGTAGTATTTGACGACTGATAACATGATAACAAAAATAAAATGGTAAAGGAGAGGATAAGGGAAACGAATATTCAACCCGCCTCCAGTCGTCCTCTTGCCATAGCAAACAGGAAAAACGAAATATGGTAATATGCAACTTTCAGACTTAAGAATAAATGTGAAGGAAACAGATGTTTTTGACTACAGATGTCATAATTTGAGTGTTTTTCGATCAAATAACATTCCTGATCATTTATTTAATCCTAAATAAGGACGAGTAAGACCATGTTAACAGACCCGTAAAGCATCTATTCCTGATTGTTAGACAAAAAGAGTGTGATTAATGGTACCGAAGTTTTAGCGGGTTGTAACTGCAATAGAAACTTCTCCATAATCGCTACCAAAGTTTAAACTTACAGAAAATATTCATGATGTCCACGGTACCAAAAAACTGGGTTTTTTGCTATAAATCCTCTGAAAGGAATTGACTCAAAAACCATCTGTAAACACTTTTATGGCTGTGGTAACGTACTTCCTTCTGTCATATAAATGTTAATTTTCCATATCCTTCAACGGCTATGTACCTCAATAAATACTAGGTTGCAATATTACAAAATAAGGAGCACCCATTTTGATGCTGGCTTAGGTTTCTTATTTTGCTGTGAATTAGACGGTTACAGTCTTAATTTATTTCTTTTTTTTCCCCTTTTTTTTGGGGGGGGGTGGGGTAGGGGGGAGAAAAAAATATGCGTAGTTACTATTCCGCATATAATTAGTTAGACACGTAATTTAAAAAATGATAATTATTTTAGAGTTTCATCTCTGTCACAGTTAAATACGTCAATTTTCTCGGGATCGCTCAACATAAATTCCTTAATTCTACTAAGCCGAGATCAGACCACTTTGGAACTTTTATATATTATTAATCAACATTTTTAGCAGGAATTGGATCACAATACTTATTTGCTAAGTCAAGGAATACAATTGATAAAAATCAGTTGGTGTAGTTATCCTCATTAAGTCTACTGAGATACGTGGGGTACATATTAACAAGATGGCTTTAAATTGACTTTGCGTGATGCAAATATTGCTATTTTTATCTCAATGTGCTTCATCAGGTGTTTACACTAACCCGATATATCAATTATTCCTTTTTTTTTCTCCTTGGCACCAGCGGTTATTTAATGAGGAACGAAATGGAAACATTTTTTCCTATAAGTTCAGACATTTATTACCTTCACAATAAAAAGAGTCTGATAGAACCTTTGAAAACGAACGTTTTGCAGATTCTAAAAAAGAGCCAAGACATTTGGAGGGAACATTGTCCATCATCGTCGCTCAGGAGTTAGCACCTTTACGCCGACGGCGATTCATAACTATTTCAGAATTGACGCAGCCGATCCCAGAATTTTTTTTATTATGATTACTATTTCTTTATCTAGACAGAGAGTTTTTCATTATACTCATGGAGAGTTTATTTAACTCCATTATTACTGAGAGTCTTTGAATAATTATGAGGCGCACGTCAAAAAGTCGCAAATCTCAAATTACGAAGTCGGCGGCAACGAGGACATGGCAAAACATAAGATCTATAAGCGGAACATTGCCTCAGCACGTGTGTTTTAAACCTTTGTACATTTCTTAGCCATCCACCGTTAAACAACGATGTGGAAATACCAAAATGTGCGTGGTCTGAGAACGGGAACCCCGACAGAGAATTATTTACGTTTTCATTTGCAACTTAACGCTGCTGACTTACGTTTTACTGCGGTTTAGGAGTGGCGCCAGCAATTTCGCGAAATTCTGTTCAAATTATGAATTTATTTTTAAAGCGACGTTTTCCTTGTTGTCGTCCTGATTGCATAAAGTACCTATTGAATATACGGATCATTCGAAGTTTTTATTTTTAGGGCAGTAGCACAGCCAAAATGGAAGGCCTGACTGAGAAAAACCCTCACGAGGTTTGATAATTCATGATATCATGCGAAAACTGAACTCATTAATTGTTTTAGTATACAATTTTTAAACAACCTGCTAAAGAAAACACTTCTCTACGTGCAAAAGTTTGAGAACACGGACACGAACGAGGGGCTTGGAAACTAGGCAGACTTTGAATTCGAGATGATAACCCAACATCTGCTGCACATATGGGGTATCATGTCAACTTCACACGCTATGTCATATTGATTGTATGCTCACGACCAATTGGACGACACGAAGACCTGTTACCGAGTTTATTAGAGCTATGACAAAATTTTAGAAGCAAACTGTTTATTTCACATCTCGGCTCCGACAAGATCAATGAGGAGCATTCTCGACTTGAATCGAATACGAAATGATTAAAGGATGCTCAGACGGGTTGAAAAGTGCTTTGAACGCTTTGAACTTTTGGCAGCCTCTGTTGACTGTTGAGTTGTCTTAACATTGTTACTTTATTTCACCGCACGCCTTCGGGTAATAATAACAAAAATGCAATAAAATTGTACAAGGTCCCACCGAGATTTGAATTCGGATCTCTGGATTCAAAGTGCAGAGTGCTAACCATTACACCATGGAACCTTTCTCGAACATCTGCTATTAAAAGACGGTTTGTATTTTGGTAATAAAGGGTTTTGAACAAGCATTTTCTGCTTTATTTTATTGACCTTATGAAAATTTTCTAGAATTAATCCAGAGTTTTGTCTATATCTGTGGAGGCGCTTTTCTTTTTTCTCTACCGACAAAATTAAACCCCCCCCACCCCCCCCCTTTTTGCAGTGGATTCCTTTGAAAAATCCTTGAAATTCAAGTCAAACACTGTTTTCCTTTTAGGATCTTGAGCGTTTTTATTGTACTCGAGCTCTCTTTAAGTCTCGATTAGATTAACAAAGTAGCCTGTCCAGGATCCGTTGTCCTTCAGACAGGAATAGAGAATAGTTAAAGAAATCTACCGAAGGGGGGGGGGAGGTTATTTAATGTCACAACATATCCTCTCAATAATTATAGAAGAGAATCTGTTGCAACAGAAAAGGAGAAGTCCGACAAGTGCTGGTACTATTGTGCTGTTCTCTTGCGCTTAATTCTGTTATTTCCGAGATTTAAACCCCTTCAGTTTTCATTTTTTAGTCTTACATCGCGTACTCACCCGAGTGATGGTTCGAGTGAACAGACTAACTCGTAAGTGCGCACTAGGTAGATTAGTTAGAAAGTGTAAAGGTATTTACCATTCGGGTTGTAGCATACGCGGAAAGCACAGAAATTGACTTTGATTTAGTTGGTTATTTACAAAAGTGGTCGGGTATGACTATAGAATTATGTACACAATGAGCTGCCTCGGCAGCAGCAGTCGGTGTTGTTATTAGACTTTGTTCAGTGATGTGAACCCAATGCCGTGGTCAGTAATTTATTTTTTGACCCTGACCTACTTTTGCAAATATTTAATATATCGAATAAAAGCATTCTCGTCAACCACGTCTATTGTTCGAAAAGAGAGAGAGTCCTGTCAGATTTCAGTCTAATGTCAAACGCGGTGGAGTGGTAGGGGACGGGGTGGTAGGGGACGGGGTGGTAGGGGACGGGGTGGTAGGGAACGGGGTGGTATTTTGGGCTAAGTGAACGAGTGTTTTTGGGATTCAGAGCATCACAGGATTGTAACGGCTCTAACAGAAAAATCGATGGGTTTGGGCTGCCCGGTGTGGTTTTTCGTCCATTTGAAAAGTTTTAAAACCAAGCTCAAAACTGCCCTTTTTAATTTTTGTCACTTGTGATTTCCTCTACACGTTTCCTTCAACTTTTGGAAACAAACAAAACAGAAATTCTAAACTTGCACCGGTCTGATTTTCATCCCAGCTTTCTTGACGAAGTAGTGATATGGTTTTCAGCCATGCCAGTTGATTCCGTCGGCATATAAGATGAGTGCGCTCCGTGATGGTACAGTCCATTCAGGTCGGAGCGATGACAGCCATCGTAATACCAGGCTCCTTTGTAGATCACAGCACAGCGATTTCTGTCCTTGTCTTTGGTTGCTAAGGTCTGGCCACGATGAATAGAAAGAGAATCGCCCGCAGTTCCTGAAAAATGTGAAGTCGTCAAGGCCGCGGAGGAAATTTTTCCCATGGTTCTATGCAATTAATTTGAAAATTACTAAAAAGCTCATCTACTATATCATATATCTGTTAGCGAATACTTAAGGGATTCCATTTTGTTTTATTAAGACATAGTTGATAGTGCTGTTTCAAGTTTAGTCAATGAATACTACAAGTTCTCACAGCAACAGATTTCTTTATTATCACTGATGTTACCTGAGTAAGTTCCAACGCTCAGCTTGTATTTATTCTTCTCACTGGAAACAGCAAAGTTGTATTCGGCGTAAGCAGTTTTACTTTTGGTGTCCATCAGATCTACACGGAGCTTGTTCTTTATTGTTTTTGTAAGACGGTGTATCTTGTCCAGTCCCAGCCAAAACTCACCATACAGATTACCAAAGCCATTCTTGTAATCGGTCCAGCCGCGATAGAAGTCAACCGAGTCATCCAGTCTCCTCTTAAACACTGTCCACTCCCGACCGGCTGTCGTTTGGTCACAGAAGACTTAAAGGCACCGAGACCGTCAGGGTCGATTGTGTAAACGCCGCTTGTTGTTTTACCAGATGTGTTCAGCTCAGCACAGTTCTTCTTAACTGTTGGAAGACATAAATGGATTTGCGCGAGAATCGTAAGACTTCGTTGATAACATGACAAGCTTTTCCATTTGTCTCTTACCTTCAGTACAGGTGTGTCGAGATTCAATGAGGGTCTTGTTTTCTTTGATAGAAGCAATGTCATTTTGCATTTCGAGAAGTGTCTCTTTTATTTCTCTGAGAAGTTTCTGTAGATTTATCAGACAAGATTAAAATCCTTTGGACCTCTTTTATCTGAGTAACAATTACAAACAAATGGAAAGGAAAAAATGATAATTTATTGTGAACATACCTTTACATGAAGTGTTGTTTCTCGCTTTGATAATGCTGATATCATTTTTTACGTGCATAAACTGTTTCTTCATTTCCTGAAGTGTTACGATCTTCTTCTTTGGTGTTCCTGCATGGAGGCCGAAGTAGACGTTTTTACATCGGTTTGTGGGTGAAGAACCGACTGGGGTGCTAGCGCTGTTACCTGGCTTAGCAGACGTTTGACTCACCATGACAAGGGTCAAGAACAGAAAACTGCGACGAAAATCTGAGAAAACAAGAGTCATCATACTTATTGAATGTTGGCTCTAGTTTAACTTTCGATAACTTGAGGTTGTCACTGACTGGTTAGAACGCAGAAGTAACCCATTTTAGAGCAACAAAGTGTGTGCGTCATTGAAATTATTGCGAGAGCTTTTTCGCGTTATCCTGCTCTTTTGAGCCCGCTGTCAACGTCATCAAATAAAATTAAGTCACCGACGGAAAAATTTCCCTCTTCTTCGACTTGAAAACAATGAACACATCTTTGGAAACTTTTGTATGACCTTGTTCGCTCTTTTCCTAATATGATAATTCAGTTTTTTGAGGGTCACACTGATGTCGGTTAGTGTTGACAACTAGTAAAAATACTAACGGTTTCAAGAAATCTGACTAAATGACCTTGCGAAGGTTTTTCGTATTCCTGAGAATAAGTAAGTTAATGACGCAGCTTATTTGCCGTCATGTATGTTAAGTTACCAGAAAGGTGCTTTACTTTCCGATTACGATTCATGGCTGATAGCCATAAAGATAAACATTGATGTAAACACTATCCCCGCATCGATTTCTTTTGAGTAACTGATGAATATCCTGCCTTGCTATCGGAAGAGAGAAACAAAACAGTGCCATAATCAGTTCAGGTAATTTATCATGGTATCTGACAGAATTTTGAGTGCGCGTAGTATATATTTGAATCATGTTAGTTTATCCAGTTGTCCGTAAGGTGAATACAACTTATGATTATTCATCGAAATCATGGCGTTAATGGTCTCTTGCATTTCCCATACTAAAGAAACACAGACTTAAAACCACGCAGATCATATGGATGACTGCGTGCGGAAAATGATAAACTGTTGTTGACTGTTATCATTCATATTTCCGTCACTGCTTTTGGTAAGGTGAGCACTTCAGTTAAAACATTGCCCTAGGCAAGTCGTTCTGCAGAGAGAGGTAATTTTCAGCTTATCAAAATGGATTGATTCAGCTGAGAGACTTGCTGTAGTCGTTGTTACGACTAGAAATTAAGATTTGTTTTTTACCCTTAGTATGCATGAAGTAAATATGAGCACTCTTTGCTACAAATTACTGACTTGAAAGGCTATGAACCTAAAATTAGACATGATTATGGTATGTAACAACACTACACGAACTCGTCGTATTTTCGTGTTCAAAATATTTAATAAGCGTAAACCTAAACAATGCTTCAAACATTATTATCTTTTGTTGTAAACTGACCGTTGAATCAAGCCCGTCCATTTTTAATTTCTCTTCACAGCACCACCCCTGGATTAAACATTAAGGTCAGGAGAATAAAAGAAATGATCAACAACTTGACGAGCTCTTGACCATTAAACGAATTTCTCTTAGTCAGCACCATAGGGAATGTACAGTGAACAGTTTTGCTGTCTGGTTAAAATTTCGCAAGGCATTTGCATAAAGTGTATTCGATCGATAATTTTGCCTTGTAGTTGCTTTTTCGGCCGGCAAAGGTTGATAAGTTAAACAAGCTATATTTACTTTCTGCTTCGACTACCGTATCAACATCTGTTTCTTTGTTTTTAGAATTTCTAAACATTTGTGAAACACATGGACACGGACTCTGGAACGTAGCAGAGCTGTTAGTCGTAAAAACAAAAATGTCTTCCTCACGTCAGAGTATCAAGATCTGTCAGCCGAGCCCTCTGTCATCTGAGTACTCACATAATCAAGGGATAGATTGAAACCCTCATTCAAATAAGCGCCCCTATTCTGTTTCAGCGATATCTCTGTAAGAGTAACATTACATTGAGATAAACCGGTTTCAGCTTCCTTTAATTGCTTACTTAAAGCCTAATTATACAAAAACACTGGTCTTCGTCTCAGTTTCTCAACTATTACGTCCATGTGAGTGCACAGTTCCTTCAAACGAATGATCTCGTCGTCTTCCAATTTTGTGACGACGATTGCTTGGCTGGTCGTTTTAG